GGCTCCTCGCGCGGCGCCGCCGGCTGGCGGGGCTCGCTGCCCCCCGTGCGCAGCTCTTCCGCACCAGCAAGCTCTTCTTCCCCACCAGAGGGACGCGCTGCGCCTGCAGAGGCCCACACGCATCCCCTGCTCCCCGGGCACCCCTGCCCCAGCCCTTCCCCCTTGTTTCCCCGTCCGCTCCAGCACAGGGGGGTCTTTGATCACCTCACCGCAGCCGCTATCAGCCCGCTTGCTTCCATGACCAGGCGCTCACAAGACAGGGGCTGACAGCACTCGGACCGGGCACGAACCGGTGCTGCGCGCCGTGCCCAGGGGAACCCGCCGAGCCCTGGCTGGGAAAAGCCCCGCGGGGAGCGGGCCGGTGAAGGGGCCGGTGGTGACCCGACCGCCGCCCCCAACGGCCGCGGACGCCCCCCGCCGCCTGTGCGGGCCTTGACGTCCTCCAGAGCAGACGAGACGAGGCCGCCGCTGCCCTCCTAGAGCGGTGGACCGCCACTTCCGGCTCCGGTGCCGCCATTTTGCCGTGAGACAGCACCGAGTTCGGCTGCCGGGATGTTGTCCACCGCTGGTTACGCGGACTCCAGGCCCGAGATGGGCTACGAGCTCGGCGCGCCCATGCAGCACCGCTTCTCGCCCTACACCTTCAACGGCGGGTGAGGAGTCGCAGGCAGGGAGTGGGGCGGGCTGAGGCAACCTCTTCCCGGGGAAGGGGGCCCTGAGGCTAGTGGCGGTAGGGCTGGGTCTTCCTCGTCTTACTCTTGCCTCTTCCCGACACTCTGTGAGTGTTTGTCTCCCCTTGCGAGCGACTCTTTGTAGAGAAAGGCGGGCGGCACGGGGGAGAGCAGGGGTCGGCCTTGCCCTGGGCTCGGCCTTGCCCTGGGCTGAGCACCCCGCGGGTCCCTGCAGCTCTTCGGGGTGTTCTTGCATGTCCATGTGGCTTTTGGCACACTCCGGCTCCCAGAACTTTTACGGGTCAAAATAAGCTCCTTCTGTTCCCCGCAGGGTTGTTTCTTTATAGTGACTCAGGAAACCCGTGTAATGGTCATATTACCAGCTTTGAAACCTGTAACTGGGTTGAAAGCTACTTTGTCATAACTGTTAAAGGTAGGTGATGTTTTACAGACACTTGCTCTGAGTTGGTGACAGGATCTGGCCAGGACCATGTTATTTAGATTATTTTTTTTTTATAATGCCTAGCTGCCTTTTAAAGGACATCTGTTAGTTACTTCATGGTAGCACACATGTGGCAATCACGAAACTAGCTGTCTGGAAGTAAATAACATAGGATAACATCAGATTAAAAAAGTGATGATAATTTAAGTATAATGATACTGATGCTTAGTACTTGACTGGAGTGTTTTTGCGTGGAGAGCCAAACTGTTTTGGAAGGGTGAGTCTTTCATTAGCAGGCATCTGAAATTGCTAGTCCATTGAGTCTGGTTCTTGCAGTGTGTAGAAACTGTTTAACTGAGTTTCCATACAGTTTTTAGTCAAAGTAGAGAATCGTGTACATATATTTTCTTCAGTGTCTAGTATCTTCTTCTTCCAATCTTGAGTCACACGTAGGGATGTGCGGAGTGGGAAACATAGCAAGGAATATAAAACGCTTGACAAAGCGTGAGTCTGGATATAGAACTACTGTCTAGTCTGTTCCTCTGTTCGCTAAGAAAATATTTGTGCTAAAAGTCACAATTGTATGAATATTCTTCTTTAAGGACTGTGTTGGCGATTGCTGGAGAAGACTTCTGTATCGTTGCCTCTGACACACGACTGAGTGAAGGTTATGCAATTCACTGCCGGGACAGTCCAAAATGCTACAAACTGTAAGTCCAGATCTTGCAAGAATTGATACAGATGAAAGATCTTTTATATTGATGAGCATGGAATGATCAGCTGCCTGGAATGATCTATCACTTTCTTTAGGCAGAATTCTCAGTAAAAAAAAAAAAGGATAGGAACGAAATTGATTTTGGAGTCATGGTGACTCTTGCTGTAATGCAAGATGTGATGTGGTGTTGCAAATATAGCCAGATTTCTTGTTGCATGCTCTTGAAGTTAGCTAATAACCGAATGTTTTTAGCATGATACAAGGCTTAATGTAAGCTAGGTGTTTTTTTGGCTGGATAATCAGAGGAACTTTTGTCTTAACTGTAGCAAAACTTAATCCTGTGGTAACTCATTCTGCTTCGTCGGGACACCTGGTGTTGGTACGCAAGTGTGCCCACTGCCGCCAGTTGTACTGTGTCTCTCTAGTCAACCATCTGGCATTTCAAAGAGGTGTTTGTTTTAGGAGAGGTAAACTTGTCAGTAGTTCCATTATTGAACTTTTATGCTCATTGTATGCTTATCTTGACTCACCATCCCCTTGGTTTAAAAATACATATTGTTTACATTCTTTTGACTGTAACAGGTGCTTACCTACTGGCTGCCATCAGCTATGTAAACAGTTTTTTTGTTTATGTTGTTTTTTTTTTAATTGATGACACAAGATCATATGAACTTATGTTTCTCCTGGCTGACTCCTTGCTATGTCTTTGACTCTCTGATACTGTCCAAATGGAAGTGACTGTGGTACAGTCTGCATACTGCACGTGATGGCTTTGTGTAATCCTAGTGACAGGCTGAGAGGAGATTTTGATTTAAATTGTTTTCTGAATGACTGCTTTGTGTTAGTCTATAAGCGTGTGTGAATGGTTGTAGACTCTCACTAATTTACTAGCATTTAAATTTCAAACGTGCATTCC